GGCCATGCCACAATCCCTTCTCCTCCAGTCTCCTCTCACGATCTTGGGCACGCATGCACATGCGCCCGGTGTGAGTTTAAGCCACCAGGTCCGGGACTCCAACTGCAGTCGACTACGTGGGAGTTCAGCGACATAGCATTATGCTAACTGCTGGTCCCAACGCCTTTCTCTTGATATAGTCTCATAGGAACTCTTCATTACCTCTGTCATCACATTCAAAGACAAACGTTATGTTTACCTGTCAGTAGTTATAGGTAGAGTTGTCCGATTGAATTCCCATGTTATAACTGCAGATGGGTTTGATGAAATCTTGCATGCAAATCTAGCAACTCCACCTTCAGGGACTTCAGTAGAAACTGGCTGAACTTCAAATGCTGAAATAGCTATAAGATAAAGTTGGGCAAGTTCAGAAAGAGGACGTGGCAACTACACATGAAGATAACACTGTGCTAGCTATAGTTTATCATTCATGAACTCTTGTTCAGAGATAAGACCAACCTAAATTAGAGATAATTCACTGAATATTTTTGGGAAAACCACTGAGGCAGCTACCCAACTTAAGGAGTCTGGTCTCTCTCAGAATTAAATTCTAAACAGATTCTTAAGAAACTTACCATATATTCACAACCGAAACAAAAAAGAACAATTAACAATGATATATAATTTCATACCAACCTACGTGGATCAAATTTCGAATACTATTGCGTAAAAAAGGAGGAGGAGATAAGGACAAACTAGTCAGGTAGAAATTATTGACAGGAATTGGATTTGAATTGGCTATTGAAGAATCCATTAAATTTAGACAGAAGGAGAAAACGAGGACATTCCATACAAGAGGAATAACATGAAGACAAGGGCAAGACAAGGGTAAGTAATGTTTTGTTCACAAGATTCCAAGGGAACAGCCCAGGACTAGAGTATTTCAGATTAAGGATTCATGGGAAAGCAGGAGGGTAGAGACAAGCAGATTTGAAACAGGTACCAATTAAGGCATCACTGAAGATGTGTGAGCAAAGGAGTGTCATGAAAACAGCAGTATCCATGAAAAATTAATCAGTGTTATACAAGATGGATCGGGGAAAAAAAAGTCTCAAGTCAAAAGCCCAACAGGCTGTTTAAACAGAAATGACAAAACTGGGAGGGAGGGGCGGCAGTGAGGATGAGAGATTCCAGAGACATCTTGAAGAAAACAAAGACTTGATACTTCCTGGACACAGATACGTTGCTCTGTGTTTGGAATGGGATAAGGTTGCTACTGATGGAGAAGAACAAGAAAGGAAAGAGGAAAGACAAGCGGCCCATCTGACAAAGAGAAGGTAGAGACGCTCCAGAGACTATTTTTTGGTTCATACATGTATTTCCACAGTGGAAATAAATCTTGGCGTGTTGATATTTTCTAGAGTGAATTCTTCTTTACCATTCTAGTCAGGCCTCAAGGAAAGGGTCTTCAGGGCACATGGGCTTGCATTTTGAAGTTGTTGCAGTTGTAGATAAGAGTGAGTTTTTCCTACCCACTTCTCTGTCTTTTATGACACAAAGAAAAGGACCTCCTATTTTAGTTTTACTCCCCCACTTCATATTCCAGTGTCTAAAAAAAAAAATGCCTCTATGGTTTGCCAATAAATGGAGAAGTTATGAAGGAAAATAAAGGAATAAGGCTAGAATGAACTCATAGTCAATAGAATAAAAAGAGCAAAAAAATAAATCTTGGCGTGTTGATATTTTCTAGAGTGAATTCTTCTTTACCATTCTAGTCAGGCCTCAAGGAAAGGGTCTTCAGGGCACATGGGCTTGCATTTTGAAGTTGTTGCAGTTGTAGATAAGAGTGAGTTTTTCCTACCCACTTCTCTGTCTTTTATGACACAAAGAAAAGGACCTCCTATTTTAGTTTTACTCCCCCACTTCATATTCCAGTGTCTAAAAAAAAAAAATGCCTCTATGGTTTGCCAATAAATGGAGAAGTTATGAAGGAAAATAAAGGAATAAGGCTAGAATGAACTCATAGTCAATAGAATAAAAAGAGCAAAAGATCATAGAAGACTAACAAATGCTGCCTCATACTCAACCTCATTTATCCACAGACAGATCACAGGCCTATGGAGGGACAGGACAAAGCCGGCATCAGTGAAAATATTCTTAGGAGGCTCTACTTCCCAAAAGGTGGTATGAGGTAAAAGAATACTTTATCTGTGCATACAACAAAATTTTGTTTTTCTGAACTGCTGTTTTCAGTGGACCCTCAAAGTAAAAACCATTTTCATATTCATAATTTGCCTTTTGTACTCTCCCCGAGTGTACAGTATTCTCAGCTATGTGACGGGTGCTATGGCAATCAACTGAATGGAGACAGATTTAGGTGTGATAATGCAGGTGTCTTAGTCTATTAAGCTAAATAAAAAGATTTACACAAATGTGAAACAATATCTCTCACTAATTTTTTTCCTTTGGAAAACAGCTATATTAATGTGGATCAATGTTTCCATGTTTTTTTTTTTTTGGAGAGATTTTTGCGATAGGGCACGTGTGCTCGCCAGACAGAGAGAGACAGAGACAGAAAGTGAGAAATCACCCCCCAGGGGGGATGGCCACGCCGCTGTTCCTTCTCCTCTATTCTCCTCTCGGGATCTTGGGCACGCACGCACACGCGCCCAGAGTGAGTTTCAAGCCACCGGGTCCAGGATGCAAACTGCAGTCGACTACATGGGAGTCCAGCGACATAGCCATTACGCCAACTGCTGGTCCCTTCCATGTTTAAATAATTTAAAAGCACTTAAAATATTTTTAGTTTTAATTTCTAGTGGTAAGTATCAATAGAGATTAGTTACATACATAAAAATTCTGTGGAATTCTAAGTTTAAAGAGTGTAAAGTATTGGGAACCAGCAGTTAGCATAATGGCTATGTCGCTGGACTCCCACGTAGTCGACCGCGGTTCGTGTCCCGGACCTGGTGGCTTAAAACTCACACTGAATGCATGTGCGTGCATGCCTAAAATTCCAAGAGGAGAATGGAGGAGAAGAGATTGCAGCATGGCTATCTCCCTGGGGGAGGGAGTGATTTTTCACTTTCTGTCTTTGTCTCTCTGGCAAACACACATGCCCTATAGCAAAAATTTCTCTAAAACAAAATATCCCCCAAAAAAAAAAAAAAAGAGTATAAAGTATTCAAGAACATGAAACTCTAAAATTCAATACGGTTATGTAATTCCTTCTGTAATTTTTTTTTCTAGGATGCTTATCTTTTTCTCTTTTTTTGGAGAGGTTTTTTTTTTTTTTTTCTGCTATAGGGCGCGTGCGCTCGCCAGACAGACAGAGACAGAAAACGAGAAATCATCCCCCAGGGGGGATGGCCATGCCGCAATCCCTTTTCCTCCATTCTCCTCTTGGGATCTTGGACACACGCGCACACACACGCGCCCGGCATGAGTTTTAAGCCACCAGGTGTCCTGGACGCGAACCGCAGTCGACTACGTGGGAATTCAGTGACATAGCCATTACGCTAACTGCTGGTCCCAACATGTAAAATTCTTGATGAAATCTATGGACTAAAAAAATAGGAAATAGGGACCAGCAGATGGCATAGTGGTTATGATGGTTATGTCACTGGACTCCCACGTAGTCAACCATTGTTCAAGTCCTGGACCCTGCAGCTTAAAACTCATGCTTGGCACAGGTGTGTGCATGCCTAAAATCCCAAGAGGAGACTGGACAAAAAGGGATTGTGGTGTGGCCATCCCCCTGGGGAAAGATTTTTCGCTTTCTGTCTCTCTCTCCAGTGAGCACACACACTCTATAGCGGAAAAAAAAAAAAATAAAAGAGGAAATAGATGGTTATATTCACGCTTAAAAATATCAGGCTCCTATTCAGAATGACCTGATATCTCAATAACAATGTGTGTCTTTTTATAATTAACTAACTTACACTGAATACATTCATTTTTCTAGGAAACAGGATCTAAATTTCCTTAAGTTTAATGCCTGCTTTATGAACTATGAATTTACCTTTTCCATGTATGAGTGGTAACTTTTAGTTCTAGTTGTCACTGATGATCCTGTCTATATTCAATTTACAGACTCTGACCTGGGAATTTTACCTTATTCTTTCCCAGGTTTATTTACCTCCAGATATAGAAATACCTAACTTAGTTTAACTTTTCTTTTTGAAGCAGAAGCCTCTCCAGGCCTATCTATCTGAAAAATCTCTTCTTCCAGTTCCCCACAATGAGTCAAGCACTCCATTCAATATGCCTTATTTTGTTTCTCTCTCATATCTGACTTTTCCCCAATCCTAATAGTCCTCTGGATTCAGCCCTTTTCATCTCTTGAGAAAATCTTCCAGGAACCTTTCAGCTGCCAGCAGAGTTACCCTTTATGGTGACCATCAAGAAATATAGATATAATTGGGGGCTGGCAGGTGGTGTGGTGGTTAAAGGCACTGGACTCCCACGTGGCTAACCGTGGTTTGAGTCCCAGATCTGGTGGCTTGTTTTCTCACTTTCTCTTCTCTTTTCTCTTCTCTCTCTCTCTCTATCCCTTTCTGGTCAAATTAAAGAATTTTAAAAAGTAAAATAATTCTAAAAAAAAAAGAAATATAAATATGATCCAGTAGCTGATGAAATAACTAGTCCCAAGATGGATCCCAAACTTCAGTTGTGAAATACTGCTTTTAGGGGCTAAAAATGAAGATTTTCTGCTGAGACTTCCCCCTCCACATTCACTTCTATCTCTGTGCACTAAGTGTCTAGACAGGTCCAAGTGAAAAGGATCCAAACATCTGAGTATGATTAGGGTCAGAACATTCCTCTATTCCCACTGAATATGATGCACAAAGAGTGAAAATGGAACAGAAGAGAAACTGCAGCTCACTTCCTTCTGCACGCCTCTGAATGCCCAGATTGAACTTCAAGAATTAGGAAGAAACGCACCATCCATCAGATGACTAGAAATCACCACAGGGTCACAAGAAATACGAGAAAGCAAGAAAATACTTCGCCTCCAAGGGAAAAGAATAACTCCTCTTCATCCTCAGACAGTATGATGAAACTCATGGAAATATCAGATAAGGAATTTAGAATTTTCATAGTGATGAAGCTAACAGAGATGGAAGACAAGAGGAACAATGAACTGCTGAAGAGGCAGGAGAAAGGATCTGTTGCATTCCAAGAGGTGAGGAAAATCCTGCAAAATCTAAAAGAGGAAATACACACTATAAAAAAAAATCAGATGGACTTATTAGAGATGAAGGCTATAATACAGGAAGTCTAAACCTCCCTTGAAAGTATTAAAAGCAGACTCGATCGTACAGAAAATCGAATTTCAGATGTAGAAGACAGAATGGCTGACCTGGAAAAATCCACCACAAAGATTGAGAAAATTGCCCCAAAA